ATATAAATAAAACCAAGGAATGCCAAAAGACGAAGACACCAGGCTGGACTTGTAAACGGCTGATTCCTTTGCTATCAATAACTGAAATGACAAAAAAAGAATTCTGAACAAGAATTTCAGTTACAAGAGTAACTGAAAACAACATCACACTTATACAAAGGAGAAGAGACACTCCTGCTTCACTGTAAAAGGAGACCAGACCTGCTGTTCCCTTTCACGCCTGAGATGCTGACTTTAGAAACACAACCTGCAGACTGTAGAGGCTTCAATGACCAGATTTGAGGAGATGTGTTCAAAATGCTCTCTCCACAGACGCGAAGGCACTCGGAGGCCTCGTGAGTGCTCCCGGCCGACTCAGCCCACTGACAGCTCGGCCGCAGCAGGTGTTAACCGCCTGGCTTTGCCTCTTACCTTCATTAAAGGCTTCCATACAGCGTGATCCTGGAAACTGGTTCGAAGCTGCTGCACAGATCTCGATAAACTGTGCAAACATCTACAAAGAATAATCAAAATTAGCTTCGCCCGAAGCCGACAATTTAATTTTTATTATTATTCTTGTTTGTTGTTTTTTTTTAAACTTCTGAATGACAAACTGCTTGGCATGGCACAATCCCTAACACAGGCTTCAACAGAGCCAAAGATTATTAGCTTAATGACTTCAGAACTAGCCGTGGGCTTCTGAGGCTTGGGTTCTGTTAAATAATGCTCGACACTGTGGATTTCACCTGCTCATACTCTCAAGAAACGGGTGGATTCTGAGGTCACTCGGAGAAGGTCCGCAAAGGAAATGGGTTAACGGCATGGCAGGGGCTGTGATTCAGACACGTGAAGGCATACCTGACAGCAGCTAACCGCACCTTGACACTAGACTCAGACAAGCCAGTCACAATTCGGTCCATCATATTTTCAGTCTCAATGATCTGGAGAAAAAGGTTAATGCTGCATAAATAACAACACAAAGAGGACACACTTCACCACTTGTAAATGCAAGAGTGTTAATGTCCACTAAAAGTTCAATGTTTTTTGACAAAGGGTTTTTACCTCCGGAGCAATGATCCCGCACTGGGGGTAGGCCACTCATCATCAAAAAGGGTGCATCAGCCCCATGCAGGGCCTGGCACCTGCCAGGCTGAGTGACACACGCTGTTACTTTTTTTAAGACCCCTAAACAATAATGAAACGGCATAAGTATTGCAGAGGTGTTGAATAAATGGTCTGGAGACAAACTTAAAGGTAGAGATGCGTTCCTACAGAGCGGACTTCTTCCAGAGAGATTGGCAAAGCCAGTCTTCACTCAGCTTTCATGACGTGAACGACAGAGCCACCTTGTGGTGACTGACTTACCAAGCAAATGACAATGAACTTACAAAGAATTTAGAAAAGGGATCCTTGCTACCTTTCACTGCCAAACCCAGCCACTTAGTCCTAATCATTAGAATTACAAAGCTTTTCTAACTTAAAAAACAGCTAGTCTGACATTTTCCCTCTTCAGAAAGCCTCTTCATACACAATTAATAGTATATGGAAGAGAATCACTTGTGCAGTTCTTTGAAAAAGACAACATTTCTCTATTAATACAAAGTGCTAATGCAGTCACACTACCGTTATTAAACAAGCCACTAATATTTCCTGACCATTTCTATGTGCTAGGCTTGTGTTGTATACATTGTCTCAGGTGTAATTCTCAGCCTCCTTTGGGGATGAACTATCAAACCATGTGTCGAGCCATGACCACTGTACAGCTCTGGCCAGAGAAGCAGGCCCATGCTCGCTCACCTGTGCTCAGGTAAGTGTTGTGCACACTATGGGCCGATCATTAGTGGGAATCGTGACTCTCACCTGCGATGGATTGTCACTGGCTGCAGAGAATTGCTGGGCAGTTTTTAAAATTCCTCGTCCCTACTTATTAAATTTGAGGTGGGACCAGCCACTTGCATTTTTAAGAATTCCATTTTCAAGAGGCCTGGGGGAGCCAAGGTGGCGGGATCAGTGATCTCAAGTGGGATGGCTTGAGAGGCTGGCCTCGAACACGAGGGCATTGGGTATCTCCACATGACCAAGGATAAAGAGTGTTTCCATTTCGCCAAAACATGTATGGTTGAAATGAACAGCGACCAGGGAGGCAACATTATTAAACACGAAGAACCACACTTTGGCTGGATGTTAGAAATGATGATGTTTATATCGTGTTTTGTCGTTTCCAAAGTGGCCAAAGATGACTGTGAATTGACCCAATCCCACCCTTTGTTTCCCATTCAGCCATTCTGACCTTTCAGGGCTCTCTAATCTCAAGGCGTCTCCCTCTTCTGTTTACCTTTCTGACTCTTGTTGCCATCCCCTAACTGAGCTGGCCTGTTCTAACACTTCATTCAGTAGGATTTTTCCTGTTCCCCTTGGCCTCCTGCTCCAGACCCCAAACTGCTAGTGTTGGACAAAATTGACCAAATCTGGTTGACTGCATGACCAGCCTTGGGCTCACCTCCAGGTGACCCCTCGGTTTCTGTGTAAAATCCTTCCTCCCTCCCTCATCTCTTCAGCCAACTCTGTGCTTGCTTCATCTTTGCCAGGACATCGCTTCATTGCTGCCTTATTAAATGCCTCCCAACTTTAACTTCTTTTGCTTCACTCCTGTTACAAAGCACGTGTGCACTTCAAGCTCAAGGCCTTCCACCTAGATCTGACCTCCACCTCTCCCTGTCTCTTACCAACATCTCTCCTCAATCCTAGTCACTGACTGGATCTTTTCCCTCAACCTGCCCCGTGTCCTCCCCCAAACCATACTCCCTCCAAGCTTCCAGCTTTTCTCTCTCTTCTTTTCAAAGGATAGCTTATCTCAAAGCTCTGTCCGTTACTTACTCTACAATTCGACAGCACTGTGGCTTCAGAGCTAGGCCGGGCTGGACCATACCTTACTCTAGAACTGTCCCAGAGCTCTTTCCCAATTCTGAGCTCTGTATTTCCAGACTGTGGCCTTTTTCAAAGCAAGTAAGGACTGGTAATGAAAGAGCCTGTGGAGAGGGAGCAGGGTGGTGATCAGAAAGAAAAAAAAGAGTGGGTAGCCAAGCTGGTGGAACAGAATGTTGTGTCTAGAAGGGATTTGTGATAAAATCTCAAGAAACTCACTTCACCTCCCTCAGCCTTCAGTAGGATGGGGGATAAAACACTGGCCACATTGCCTCCAATCCTCGGCAATCAGAAGGTGGACAGGAACTGTGTTACGCTGGACAAAAGGATCAAGCTATTTAGAAGCAGCACTGAAGGAAAGGTAGGTTTGAGGAGACTTTGGTGGCGGTGCCAAATTCAAGACGGCAAGGAAGGGGAAATGTGACAGAGTTCCTCGTTGCACGCCTGCATTCGCTTACTCAACAAGACCGTGTGAGCACTCACCGCATGGAACTGTGATTCTGAAAACTCTAAAGAGGTGACTGTGAACAAGAGAGAGCCTCGTGCCCATCAGCTGTCGTCCTGAAGAAGCGCGGTGAACAGTGAAGCGGAGCTCTGACACTTGCTTGTAGGCAGCACAGAGAAGGAATTTCCTCAGGGACCCAAGGACCACAAGTGCCAAGACACGCAGAGTAAGACAAGCGTGTGCAGAATGGGAAGGGACCCATTCTCAGGAATGAGTTTTGTTGTTGAGAAATAGACCTGAATGACTTTCCTGGAGAGTCTTTAGGCTCAAGGTAGAGAATACAAGCACATAAAAGCTCAGTCATCGTCATGCTGGGCAGAAGGAATCACTCCCTTTCTCGCGGAGTGTGGCAGTTAATACTTTGTGGATAGGGGGTAGATTCGAGGCAGCTAGTAAGCCCTTCTCTGGACTAAGTCAGGATAGAAAACACCAAGTCTCGCTGGCCCCACAGACACAAGGTGAACTTGGTATGGAAGGATGCCTGTAACATCGCAAGGGGTTTGGAAAGCAGGCTTCTTGAGGCAGGTTCATGTCTTCAATCAGAATCTCAATCTCAGGGCCATGGAGTGAAGAGAACACAGAGTCTGAACGTGAACAGGGGGATTCCAATCCCCAAGTGCATCATATCCTCAGAGGCTGTGCCAAAGAGCAACATCATTTAACTAAGATTCTGTGGCTCTGAGGATAAACGTGATGCAGGGAATACTCTAACCAAAATGAGGCTAAAAATGTGATTAAAGAAGACAAGGCTTGGAGCTCAACACAGTAAAGACTGTCTTGTGTCAGCATGGTAGGAGCTGGCGGTGACTGTGGCCCGGATGCTTGACTCACATGAGGGTCTGAGGACACAGCCTGGAACTGGGAAACCAGGACCAGTAAACCGCACGTGCCATGGTGCCTTTTGGGGATGCGAGAACCACACTCCTGGGTTTTGCTAACTCCTAGCAGTACAGCATTCAAAGATCCAAGAGTGAAGATGGGAGTTGCTCTGCTTCATGGTTCTTGTTAAGCTTCTCCTCAGTCACAACCAGCAAATTAGCCCTGTGGCAGAATTTGCTGGGTCAGTTAGAAGAGGGACATTTCTCTCTGTGGGACAGGCAATGTTGGGGAGAAGGGATGCTGGTGCTAACAGGTACCCTCAGAGTGGAGGGAGCCATCTCTCTCTCTTCCCTCTTCTTGGATACTGGGCTGCAAACATAACTGTCGTTAAATCTTCTTGGATACTGGGCTGCAAACATAACTGTCGTTAAATCCCATTTTTAGCAATGCTGCTTCTTTAGGTTACAGTTTCAGTCACAAGTGTAGCTCCCTACGGAGGGAAAGTGCCAGTCTTCGTGAACTACATGCTTCTTTTAGGCCAGGTGTCGCTGAGACTGTAGCTCTTGCAGGGGTTTAGGGGTGTCTCTGAGAACAATCTGTAAACCCCTGCAGGTAAACTGGGACTTAAGGGTTTGGCCTTGTGGGGGGGGGGTGTCGTGGGAAGACAGTGAGGAAGTCATGGGGGAAACCCAGAACTGAGCTGGCAGCAAAGGTCCAGCACGTCTGAGAATAACCAGTAGACGGCTTTGGGATACAAGGCGATGGCCAGGTTTCCATGAGCCCTACTAGACCTCTAACTTAGCTGTGGCCAAGTCAGGAGCTGTCGTCGTCTCAGAGACTAACAAGAGTCAGAAAGAGGATCTTCAAAAAGCTCCCAGATGCAACTATTCTCTTTTTAGCATGACTCAGGATAAAGCATGCTCCAAACAGTAGCCTAGCTTAAGCTTATGGTTGGATCAGGTGTGTGTGTAAAGTAGGAGAGGTGGAACCTGAAACCAGGCAGATTCTTAGTGGGGGGGTCACTAAATTTCTCAGACAACTGAGGGCAAGTAATCTTGGTGTCAAGGGAGTGGTAAGAGGACACGCACTAACATTCCTCACTTATGACACCACATGTCATGAATGGCCCAGCAAATACTATGCATTTCTGAATGGGCTTTCGTGAGAGATTTCCAGAAAGAGTTCTAACAGCAGATCTGGCAGCTTAGTGGTAAGAAATTGTGCTGTCAACTCAAAGGTACATGGTTTGAATCCACCAGCTGCTCTATGGTAAAAAGATGGGCAATCAATTCCTGTGTGATTTGGTGCCTCTGAAAACTAGCTGGAGGGTCAGCTACGGGTCGGTTCTGACTTGATGGTGCACAAAAAAGAAATGACTTGCTCAGCAGGGAGGTGCATTTCTAACCCAAAGGTTCGAATCCACCAGCAGTCTGGTTCCTCGACAGATGGATGAGTCATCACTTCTCATGTGAAACCCAGTGGAGGGTTAGCTCTGAATCAGCTCTGACTCAACAGCAATGCGAGAGAAAGAGAAAAGGGGGTGGAAGGAAGGGAGAGAGAAACCAAATTGAGATCTGACTTCGGAAACCGGGAAAGAGTAAAACTTTTTTTAAGGTGTTATCTGCTGTGGGAACCAGAGACTACACGTCGGTCAGAAAAGAAGACAGCGTTAGGTAGCAGAGGGCGTCACTC